AGGTGAGTATAGGAGGTTGGGCTGAATTATTTTGGTATTAGGCAACCTGGAAAAGGTACCCGGAGGTTTGTTCTAAGAAAGCTGCATATGTGGGGTTTTGCTTATAAGCCAGAATTGTACCACTTCTCATCAATTGATTGCTACTAATTTACCTGTATATCCTCTGAACAATGCCAATCTACAAGAAGCATTATTGGTATTAATGAGCTTACTCCAACAAACAGCCCAACCCAAAGCATCTGAAGAATGTTTTGCATATCTAGGATTTACTGCCGAAGATACTTCTATTTTTGCCCTAGCAGAAGTAGAAATAAGGAAGCATAATCCAATAGAAACCCATGCTAAGAAAAGAAAAGTAGAGGAAGAAAAAGCAGTATTAGTAAAAGAAATACCAGGAAACAATAAAAACAAAGAAGAATCACAACCCACCTTAGTTAGGTATAACTCACCAGAAGAAAAGAAAAAGAAATACACCCTTATTAAAAAAAAAGAAACTAGAGGATAATACTCTACAAATATCATCCCTAGTAGCCTCATATTCAATCATAGCTGAAATTAGAGATAAACCTGCCAATATTACTTTCGGGCAGTTGTTTAAGGCTGCCCCCTCCATGAGGTCCTATTTAATCTGATCCTTACAAAAGAAGAAAATAATGATTAGGCGAAAAGCTAGAGCCAATGTAAATTTACAAATAATCCATAATTCAACTGCCCTTTATTGTGATGCCCAAGTCCAAGGAAAAGTTATTCCGTTAATTGTCGATTCTAGATCCTCCGGGAGTGTCGTATCGTTATTCCTATTAAAAGAATTAGGAGTAAAAATTGATCGCCCCTCTATAGTGAATATGATTAATATTTACAGGAAAGTAAAAGGGTGATTGGTGAAATATCTGACTTTCTCTTTGTTGTAAAAGACATAAAGATCCCAATCGATGTCATAGTAACTGATGCAAGCTCCTATAATGCGCTTGTAGGAAATAATTGGCTTTTCCAAGTGAATGCTTTAATCAACTGGAATACCTTTGAGATGACTCTTAACTAGGAAGGTAAAGAAGTTACACTACTAGTAGAATTTTAAAAAGTAATCCCAAAACCGCTTAAAACTGAAAGGTCTATAAAAACAAGCGAAAAGAAAGAAGATGAGTATGAGAAAATTAAAGAAAACAATGAAGAAAGAAGAGGAAGAAGAATTTGAAGAAGAAGAATTAGAGGAACAGATTTATAGACTTTCCAAATTAGATAATACTGATAAATCTTTCGATAAAGATAAAGGTTATGAGAATCTTAATCTGAATAATCTAAAAGTAGGAGAAGCTTGATGGAACTTAAACAGCGATAATGATTACGAAAAAGAGAGAGACTATGATTGGAATCAAGAAGAAGTATCTAGTAACGAGAATGAAATAGAAAGAGATAAAAGAAATTTAGAAGAAGAGTTACTTACCCCTGTAGATATCTGGCCTGAGGATTACTAATGGCAGATAGACTTTGATACTCTTTGGAATGAAAAAGAACAATTTGAAGAATTCCTGAAATCAACCTCAGAAATCCTACCTGTAGATGTCTATGATGAAATCAGTGATCTCTTTGATTTTTACTTTGACGAAGAGACCGGCTCAGTAATAAAGTATAATATTGATGGCCTTCCAGAAACTCAAAAGGAACAAGTACTATCGATCCTTGATAAGAATAAAAATCTTTTTGCAAGAAACCTATCCAAGCTCGGGCAAACTAACAGGTATCAACATAGAATAATTACTGGAGACGCCCTATCCATCAAACAATGACTGTATCGACATTCTCTATTAAAAAGAAATTTTTAATTAATGAGATTAAAGTAATAGAAAAGGAGAACATAATAAGGAAGTCCTTTAGTCTATAGTCTTCGCCAGTGGTTTTAGTGAAACAAGAGAAAAGAAAAACTAGAATCTGCATAGATTATAGAAAAGTAAATACAGTAACAAAAAAAGATAATTATCCCTTACCGAGGATCAATGATCTACTAGATGCCTTAAAAGGATCCTCTTGGTATACGTCATTAGATCTTGCTAGTGGATACTGGCAAGTCAAAATGTCTAAAAAAGACAAAGAAAAAACAGCCTTTGTCACAACTGATGGGATCTACAAATTCAACATAATACCCTTCGGGTTAGCCAATACACCTGCAACATTCTAGTGTTTGATAGATAAAATTTTTCAAGATATTATTAAAAAATTTGTCATAATATATTTAGACAATATCAATATTTATTCTAAAAATTTTAAGGACTACCTCGTTCACCTTCAAGAAGTATTCAGATGATTAAGAGAGGCCGGTCTAAAATTAAAACTGCAAAAGTGTTTCTTTGGAAAACAAGAACTAAAATTCTTGGGGTATATAGTAAACGCAGTAGGAATTGTAACAGACCCCAAGAAAGTAAAGGCCATTAAAGAATTTCTAATGCCAAGAAATGTAAGACAACTTTGTAAATTTCTAGAATTGGCCTCTTACTATCGAAGTTTGTCACCAGATTCACCAAGATAGCCACATTACTAAACCAGCTACTAAAGAAGAATATCTACTATAAGTAGACAAAAGAGCAACAAAATGCCTTTGAAGAATTAAAAGGAAGACTTACCTCAGCACCGATATTAGCCTACCTTGACGAAACTAAAACCTTTCTATTATTTACCAATGTATCTGATTTAGCCTTAGGGGCTATACTTTCTTAATTAGATCCAGAAAGAGGAGAGCAAGTCATATCATATACCAGTCGAAGTCTTTCATCTGCAGAAAAGAACTATTCTGTGACCGAAAAGGAATGTTTAGCTGTAGTGTGGGCTGTATCCTACTATTGTTAATATCTTTACAGAGCAACCTTCGAATTATATACTGATCACACTGCCTTAAAATTACTATTTTCATATAAACTACCCCGGAATCATCTAGCATGATGGATTCTAACTTTCTAAGAGTACTTGTTCATAACAATCCACAAGGCCAGGAAAGTGCATAGAAACACTGACTGTATCTCTCGTATCTAGAAAAAAATATAAAGAATAATTAAAATAGATCGTTAAGAGATCTTATAAAAAAAAAAAAAGAAAAATTATTTAGACAACTTTAAAAATAGAAGAATGGATTTGAATACATACTATTTATACTTAAAGTATCTTAGCGATATCAC